AATATGAAACAAACCTTTCGACAGAGACGGCCACCAAATTGAGCACGGTGGCCATACCGGACAGCATCTCGACAAACGAGCTGAGTTTACATATGTTGCCGTCGGTGTCCCACGTGATCACAAAGTACTCCAGGGTTTCCAACGGCACGTATATGAATAGGAGGAGCAGATCGGCGCAGGCGAGCGATACCAGAAACGTGGCCGTACTTGACCTAAGTTTGCCCCCGCGGGCCCACGTGGCGATCACCACAGAGTTGCCGATTATGCCCACGAAGAATGTGATGGCATGAGTGACCACAATCGTCAGGAATGCTGTCAATTGGCAAATATTATACTAAGGTTCTTTACCATGTTTATTTGTATTTTGTCATTGTTGTGTAAAGTTGTTTTTAACGTGTTTATTTTGTTGATATATTTTTATATAGCTGATATTGTTGTCAGTTGTATGGTTTGACTGAATATTGAATTTTTCTTTTTTTGTGTTTTGCTTTTTTTGTTATTGAATTTTTTAGTTTATATTTTGATGTGTTTTTATTAAATCCGAAATTTTATTCTGTTAAGTCTGTTGATATGTTTAGTGTTTTGACATTTATTCCCTAAAAATCTATGTAAAGTTATATTAATAATTCATTTTTATTGTCAAAACTATGATTTTATCTGTCGGTTCCGTAAACAGAGATTTACATAACTTTACTTTATACTCTCAAAATCCAATATAATATACACCCAATAGTATCCCCATTCCCTTCCATAATATAATTTCTATTGAATTTTGAATGTACTAACGATTTGTGCATTTTTCACAATTTAACAACCAGGATGCTTCAAACACCAATTTAATGGTTAACAAGTATGTGAAAAATATAATTTATATTTTTGTTAAAATTAGTGTTGGAGTAAACTATAATCCTTTATTTCCTAATAAATTATGCATTCAACTGCTATTTTAACCATGTTTAAAAATACTGTAGGCCACACTGAATGTAGCCACATATTGGCATATTGTTACATAATAAACATAAATACTTACCGGGGTTAATGTGAAACGGATCCAACATATCGTTGGGATTATCGATATAGACGTGAGTGTTGTTTGAGAGTCGGGGACAATACGAGCCATCGCCGGGAGTGCACAGCTCTTCATACGTCTGGTTATTAATGTTGGTTATGGTATCCATTGCCCCGTTATAAGTGATTCACACCATTCAAATCACTGCACGGATAAAAAGAATTGGTTTAAACTTAAATAGTTTTAGTAATAATAGTGTTTTACAGTCTACCCTCGATGTAGGGGGCTAATTATGGGTTAATTTGATATAATAGAATTTTTATTTGATGCCCTACAGTTTTTAGCCTACTATAATAACACCAAGTAGAATTATCTGTAAGTAGAATTTGATATTAAAACACTGTTTTAGTTGCCCTATTGAGTCCCTTATATTAAGGTCTGACTGTATTATATAATAGACGTTATGATATTTTGATTATTGACTATTTATATGATTTGATATTTTTTATAAATATAAGTAATATGTGAGCAGAATGTAAATGTAAAGCTTTATCATAACCAGAATATTCTTAAAGATTATTATATAATATTACAGTTAAAAATCACAAGAAATCCCATTTCTAGGCATATATTTATCTCTAATGAAAACTATATAATATTCATATGCTTTGAATAATTGTTTGACACAATTAGCTGCGGATATAATGTGTTTTTTAGCAGCAAATGATAACAAGTCTTATATATTAATTAATACATAAAATTATTTTAATAAAAAATGCAAATATCTTTTGTAGTTATGATAACATTGTTATTATGAAATGCTATTCAAGTGAATGTTTTTTATACAAAAGTCTACTGAATTGACAAAAAGTGAATAAAAGTAGGGAAAAAATCCTATAATAAATGTTCAGATTCTCTCTCTCTCTCTCTCTCTCTCTCAAGAATAAACTCACAAACCTTTATATAAATATGTTTTATCTTTAAAATGAATATTGGATTTAGAGAGAGAGAGAGAGAGAGAGAGAGA